GGTTGTTCTCCAGATTTCTTGGCACAACTTGGTGAGCACATCCAGAGCAGCATCTGTTATCTGAAATACTTCAACTGGTATACCATCTATTCCTGGGGTCTTATTTTTCGCTATTTCCTTCAAAGCAGCTTCAACTTCTTCATCACCATAGGCTCTTGCTCATATATTTATAACACCAAAATGCTACTAGTTTCCTACTTATAGTCTAAACAGTCTCTGTGCCTTTGTTTTTCCTGTCTCTTCTAGGTACAAGTGCCACCTATCTATTCCATTACTTCTTTGCTGTCCCAATTAATGTGTTCAAAGGTTCTGCTCCAGGACCACCTCCTCAAAGATGTCATTAAAGCAATCTGACTGACACAGTAGTTAGTTTTAATATTTTCATCTTTATTAGAGAGTAAACTTGAAGACAATGTGGACTTTATTTGCATCTCTTTCAGTCTCCATGAAAATGACTATCACAGCATATGTAAATAAGTACTTGGTGAATAACTTTTTTAAAAAAAGTTTTACCCCACAAATACAGGAATTAAGAAATAATAAAGCTGTTCATGTTATCAAATTACTGTGAAAAATTCTTTTTGCTACATTACTGTATTATCAAGAAAGACCAAGGAAAACACCTATTAATGAATGCAAAAGCATCTTCATTATGGTGCTAACAGGTGCTTACTTTATGAAGTTAAACAGTACCTGGTCAAAAAGTTGTTTGCCAGTTGTATTGGGCTGGATAGCAAATTCCAGCTCAGCATCCATGGTAGTTACTCTTACATTGATCTGTAAAGAGAAAAAGAAAAAAGAAAAAAGAAAAAGGGGAAAAGGTTATCAGAAAAGAGAATGTACTTATTAAATATTAATCCAAACCTCACTGTAGTAGGTCCAGTTCTGATTCACAGCAATCCTCCATGGGGTTTCTGAGGCTGCATATATTTACAAGAGAAAATGGTCTCTAGCTACCTTAACTGCAAACATATGGTCGTGGAAATCATTAACAACTGTGGGACTAATTTAAGCATACACTTTCCACACTGTGAGAATGGTGGAGAAGGGACTGTTCAGACAATGTGAGAGATAGTGAAGAGACTGTGACAACCCTGGAGATAAAGCCAGAGTTAAAGGTGCTGGATGAATAAAGGAAAAGCTTATTTGTAGCTGCTCTGAGATAAAGTCTGCTTGATGACTGAGGAAAACCAGAGCTTTCTAACATTTGTGCTGCTGAACTAAACCTGGACTTTCACAAACTGAGGTATTGTGCCTTGAAGCAGGAGTGGCATCCACTTCCTAAACAACATGTCTCTGGAAACTCTATAATAAACTTTGATAAATGTCGAGAGTTGTAGAGGGGCTTCAGGCCTTTTGTTCATAGGGTTGCTATGAGCTGTGGCCTACTCAAAGGCAATCACCATCAACAACAATCTGGCTTGGGACTGCTGCACTAAACCTGGACTTGTATTGTGTGGTATTTATTCTTTGCCTCTCCCACTCCCCTATCTCCCTAATCAATCTTCTTCTCACAACTGTGAGAAGTCTGTGAGTCAAGCTGCAATAAACACCAGGCCGAATGACTGACAGAAATAGGTGCATGAGCATGTAGGGTGGGCATGTCTGACTGTGTAGGCATTTGTTTAGTACTATAGATATTATTGATGAGGATAGTTCCCTTTTATGAAATAGGTAGAAGTCAGACTTGTCCTTCCCCATGTTGTAGCTGCTTCTTAAATGTATATTCACACAAGAATAACCTCTCCTAGAAACATGCTCAAAGGATGTGAGATGAAGGGTTTTTTTTCCCTTTTATTTTATACTGGTTTACTTAAAAAGTCATACATATTGTTTTTCACACTGAATCGTTCCCCTTTTCTTTACCCACTCCAACCTCCACCCATCAAATTGTGTGACCCTATGATTAACTCCCACCCTTTGAATCCTCATACACATTCTACAAAAATCATCTTACATGTCTTTGTAAGACTGAGTTAGTTCACTTAGCATAATACTCTCCATTATCTCCCATGTTAGGTAGTAATTTACAAAATCATTGTTCCTGCATTCTACATAGTATTCCATTGTGTGAATGTACCATAACTTCTCAATTCATTCCATTATGGTTGGACATCTGGGCTGGTTCCACATTCTTAATATGTTGAATAACACTCCTCTGAGTAAGTCTCCATTTGTTCCTCAGTTCTCATTTTCTCAGGATATATTCCAAGTAGTGGGTTCAGCTTTTTGAGGATCTGCTAAACTGCCTTCCAGAGTGGTTGTAACATTCTACAATCTCACCAACAATGTGTGTAAGTGTTCCTATCTCACCATATCTTCTCCAATATTTATTACTTGCTGCCCTGCTAAACTTTGCCACTGCTACTGGGGTAAGATAGTTGTGAGATGAAGTTTTATCATCTTTGCACTCCGAGGAACACTGTGGCTCCACTTTTTAAAATTTTACATTGATTTGCATACAAGTTCATACACACTGTGTTTCACACTATCCTTCATTCACATTGTGTTTCATACATTCTCAGACATTTGTATTTTCATTATGAACCATGCCCACCATTACTCTGTCTTTCCAGATCTCCACTGGATCTTTCCAATTTCCTTTACCCCCTACTTCACTCACCAAATTGTGCAACCCTGTGATTTCCCCCCTGCCCATCCTCACCCTTCTGTTCCCATGCCTTCCCTCCTTGGGTACCCATACAATGTCTTACTAGTTATCTATTTCTACAATAATGGTCCTATGCAGTATTTATGACTGAGTGAGTTCACTCACCATAATGCCCTCCAGTGTCTCCCAAGCTATTCAGTAATTTTCAAAATCATTGTTCCTGAGTCTGGCTGTACTTTTGCAATTTTTTCATATCCATCTGTTAGTTAAAACATGTCAGTTGGAATCCCATCAATTCCTGGGGCCTTACTTTTGCCAATGCCTTCAATGTAGCTTGAACTTCCTTATTACCCTTGGCTCTTGTTCATACTTACTGCAATTTTTCAGTGTCGACCAATTCTTTTTAGTAGAATAACTCTGTGTACTCCATTCCTTCTATCTTCTTCTTCTGATACTTCTTGGATCACTGAAGTCTGCCCATAGCATCTCTCTATATTCTAACTTGAAACCTGAATTTGTTTTTCAATTCTTTCAACTTGAGAAATATTGAATGACTTCATCCCTTTTTATTCTGACTCCAGTTCTTTATATATTTTGTTAAAAAAGCAATTATGTCAGCTTGAAGAGTAAGGTTCACCTGATTCAGGTGATGGTCTTTCCAATTACTTGCTACTTACATAAAAGCTAGCCAATAAAAAAGGATGACAGAAGAAGAATTGATGTTCCTGACTTGTATTGGAGAAAATACTATCTCACATGCTATGAAAAGAAGAGGATCAGAAAGAGAGAGCGCTCTGCAACAAGATGAACGGACACCATGACTTAAGGAGCCCAGAGGACATGAAGATGGCACAGGATTAGGAAGGTTTTAACCTGTTCACAGGGTTGCTATGAGTCATGGTTGACTTGACAGCACCTAACATCAAGAGCAAAATTTCATGCCTTCTGTACTGCTCCTCCATAAAATATTATGAATAAATGTATATAGATGTATAGTTGTATTTCTGTCCCAGTAATCTTTTCACCTATTATTTCCTTGATACTACATGACCTAACTTATTTGTGCAATTCCATGCTGTTAGGTACCTTTGCATTCATTTCGTAGTGACTATATAAACTATGGATCTGAACCTTGCCATATCCTGCACCATTCTCACCATCTTTGACATACTCGAGCTCAGTTACGGTCTATATGTCAACTCATCTCTTTGAGTCTTTCTTACACTCCAACTTTCCAAGCATGATGTCCCTTTCCAAGGAACTGGCCCTATTTATAAACACATGGAAAGTAAGTGAGACGAAGCACCACCATCCTTCCTCCTAGAGAGCACTAGGGTTGCACTCTCTCCAAGACATCTCTCTTTGTTCTTTTGGCAGCCTATGGGATATTCACTGTTTTTCTCCCACACAACTCAAAGGCATCAATTATCCAGTCATCCCTATAGATGAATAGCAAGTGACTGAAAACGGTAAGGCTTTAATCAAGCACACCTGAGTTTTCAAACTGACACCACTGCTTCTTAAGATTTTGGAGAAGTCCTTGACAGGAGATTTTCTCAAAACAGTAAGTCTTGATTTTCTGACTGCTGGTGCCAAGGGTGTTGATTGTGGATCCAAGTTGAAATGACCAACAATTTCAACCTTTTCTCTATCAAGATTTTGTCTACTGGCTTAACAGTGGCAACTTTTGTCATCCTGATGAAATCTATATTGAAGGCTGCAGTCTTTGATTTTCTGCAGCTAGAGCTTCAAGCCCTCCACCTTTTCAGGAAGGGTGTATCATCTGCACAGAGTCTTCCTCCAATTCTGATGACACATTATGCTTTACAAAGTCTAGCTTCTCAAATGATTTGCTCAACATACCGACTGAACAGGTATGAAGAAAGGATAAAGCCCTTACACACACTCTTGATTTTAAACCATGCAATGTTCCTTTGTTCTGTATAGCCCAAGAATAGGTTTCATATTAACACAAGTAAAAGTTTTGGGATTCCCATTCTTCTTAGTATTAGCCAAAATGTTACAAAACAGTCAAATTTCTTTGTGCATTTGGTAAAAAACAGACATTCTTCAGTATTTTTATGCTTTGAGCCAAGATTCACTGGCTATCAGCAATGATAACCCTAGTGCCATCGTCCCTTTTAAATTTATCTTGAACGTCTGGCAGTTCTCACTCCATGTATTATTCTAAGCTGGTTGTATTTTTGGTTGGTTTTTTTTTTTATATACATAGTCTTCAGCAATATTCTGGTTGAATGGGATATTAATGATATTGTTTGGTAATTTCCACATTCTGTTGGATCACCTTTCTCGGGAATGGGAACAAATACAGATTTCTTCCAGCTGTTCAGGTCTTCAAAATTACCTGACACAGGCTGGTGAACACGTCTAGGTCTGCATCTGTTAGCTGAAACATGTCAATTTGTATTCCATTAATGCTCTTGTTGCTTGTCATCTAGTCGAGCATGACCCATAGCAACCATGAATAAAAGGCCTGAAGCCCTTCCACAACCACTGCCATTTATCAAAGTTCAGTTTCCAGAGGCATGCAGTTTAAAAAGTGGATGCCATTCCTGCTTCCAATTCCATTAACACCAGGGGTCTTATTTTCTGCCAATGCTTTTAGTGCAGCTTGAACTTTTCTACCTTCATTGCCACTAGCTCTTTATCATAAGCTTACTTCCAGTCCATGGTCTTTGCAATTACTTGCTATGCATCAGAGAGCTGGATAATGACTAAGGATGATAGAAGAGTAATTGATGCCATTGAGTTGTGGTGCTGAAGAAGAGTCTTGAATACCATAGACTGCCAAGGTTTGTCTTGGAGAAGTTGAAACCAAGTTTCTTCTCCTTGGAGACTAGGATTTTGAAGCTGTCTCACTTACTTTGGGCACGTGGCCAGGAGGTACTGATCCTTGGAGAAGGGCACCATGCGCTGAAGGACAGAGGGACAATGCAGGAGAGGAAGACCCTGGATGAGACTATTGATACAGTGACTAGGGAAATTGGGGTAGGTGTGTCGGAGTCAGTGAGACTGGCTCAGGAGAGGCTTGAGAGCTCTTGTACATAGATAGGGTCATTATGAGTCACAGGCAACTTGTCAGCACTTAACAGCAACTTTCTGAAATGGTTCTGGGTCAGCCAAGTCTTCTCATTACAATGACTCT